CTCGATTTTGTGTCCTCTGACACTTTAGCTGCTTTTGCCAACCTCTGCAGTTCCTCCCCTCTTTGATTATCATCAAGGTCTTCTAATTGCGTTAATTGAGTACCAATAATTGAATTTGTTAAAATATATAAAGCCGACTGGACGGCATCTCTGGATTGAAAGGGGTCAGTGTTTATCTCTTCGTCCGCCATTATCTGCTATTTAGAAATTAAATAGGAGATGTAAATGCTTAGGTGGTAAAATAAAATCAGAAGAGTTTCTCTCTACTGATGTATTTACTCTTATTTAGTGAGTTTAACAATTAAACGTGCACTATATTTCCAGCGACCGAGTAAACTTTCAGCTCTTATGATTATCTGTCTCTGTTTCTACCAAAAGTTCTCATTTTTTCATTTTGCACCTGCTTTAGGATTTATCAGTGAATGAAAAAATTCTTAGTAAACGCCTCGCTGGGCGTAAATACTTTACTGACTTTTAATGGTAAGATAACATAACATTTTAATCAGCTCGAGGAAGTTTGTTGACTCAAAGTTCGTCTTACGGCAATAAAAACGTTTAATTTCACTCAAAATACCTAAAAAGCGAAGTGAAAACCTGTTATCTCGCGTTTATCCAGAAGGTGTCAGTACAACCTTATTAATTTTAACTCAGACACTGTTAGTGTTGTCCAGTAGGGGAGCTATAACTTCCTGTGGCGTCCGGTCGTTAGCTGTTAGCTAAAAATTAGCATCGGCTAGACTCGGATAAAACCAACATTTCTGAACGGATTTTTTACACAAACGTGGCAAAATTTTAGCAATTAGACTTTGAAGAACCTAAACAGCGTTTCAGAACACAGCTTTAAAGCACTTTTCAGCTTTAAAAAGCAGATTTTATTCCCTATGAAAACGAGTTTCCATTTCCGGGTCACGTGACTGAAATCACCAATGACAAAGCAGCGCAGGGGTGAGAGGAAATGATGTAGACACGTCATTCGCTTCTCAGCGAATCAGAGCGCTCCACAGCAGCAGAATTCAACCAATCACTAAGCGTTTATAGCAACCAGCATGTTAGATTAGCATGAAATAAGTTCGTCCACTATTCGTCTTTTAAACTGTCAAAATGCACTTTTTCTGTTAAAAATTGTAACGAATCAACTCTGAGCTTAGCTGAGACTTCGTCCAGTCTTTAAAACGTTTCTCCATCTATTCAAAATACTCGTTCAAACTTATCAGAACCGAACCGGACCACAGCCGGGTCTTGCAGCCGAACCTCCGTCCTTTTAAACAGAATAACGTTTTCCACAGCTCATCAGCTTAGTTACACGTAACAGGCGTACAATTTCAGCTTTCACAAGACATATGACACTATTTCAGCTTTCGTAACATCGCCAGCGTAATACAGCGTAAACATGCAGAGTCAAGCTCTAAGCGCGCAGCTCCAGCACGCTGCGTAAACATGCAATGTTTTGACTTCAAAGCGGCGCAGCTTGAGCTGCGTTTCAGCACAGCTGATAAACTGTTACTTTTCTTCATGCCAACATGTAACGAATACACGAATACACAGTCATTTATGAACACGTGACGGGCCACCAGAATGTAGATGAACAGATGCTCAGATATATTCATCAATTAACACGGATTCCTCATTTTTCTGAACTGAATAAAACGTGCATTGAATTTAATGAAATGCAAATGTGAGACGTCATTTATCTTTGACCCATCAAACTGAATGCGGTCATTTATTTACAGAATCAAAGTTTAACATCAAACATTTACATTAATTTGGCAAATTATGAAAATAACAACATAAGCAATCAATCAGGAAAAATCATACGGCCATGATTTTTCCGTTGCGTCACCACAGACATTTCTGAAAACTGTACAACTATGAACTTTTACCCACACGGATGTGGATGAGCACTTTACACAGACATTTCTAAAATATCTGGAAGAATATCTACTTGATAGAAGAGTTTAAAGATGGGAAAGAAGTTTAGAGGGAGTAAGATGGTGTTTGAGGGAGTGTTGACAGAACGGCACTCTCCGGGCTTTCTTCAGCTTTTCCTTACAGTACACTTAGGTGGTGAAATCGACTCTTTTACCTGGAGATGTCTCAGGCGAGATTCCGTTTAACGCACCCATTCAGCGTCTCCGTAGGATGCTGTTACTCGTCCGGAGTAGCGGCGAGATTCTGTCCCTCTGTCCCTCACCTCAGTGGAAAATGTTATAATCCCATGAAACTCGGAAGAGCTCTGTTGTCATGTCAGGATCTTCCCGGCTCCCAGAACTGGGCTTCTCCGCACAGAACTGAACAGAACTGAACTCCAACAGAACCGAGTAGAACCCTCCCAGAACTGGTTAGACCAGGAAGTACCGACATTTTAAAGAGCTCTTTTCCCGGTCCATCTGGGAGTATTCCCATTGGCCAGAACCGACCAGACGGGGTGTGTTTTGTGACGTAAAAGGTTAGAATGCAGCAAGAATTGTTATGGAACAGATCAGAAATGTTCTCACAGACAGAGAGAGTTTTGTTTTGGCAAGTTTCAGAAACAGGTGCCAAAAACCCCCCTGTTGACGTCTGAGAGGATATAAACAGGACAGTTGTTCCAACGCATGTCTGCTTCGACTCCTGACCCTGGAACGCACACTTTGCTCATTCAAAGGCAGAAATCAGAAAATGCATAAAAATCTGTAACAGACCTCAACATGAATTCTAACTTTGCATGAGAATTAAAAATCATTACACAGTTAATAAAATTGATTAGTTCACTGCAACATCTAAAATGGTTTGAACTAGGACACTTTGATTATCAACATTTGTAAAATAGTAATGATAATAAAACAGAGAGTGTTCTTCCACTTGAATTTTCAAGAAAGAAAGTCTCAGGATGGGTGAACCTGTATTTCTGGATTCAAATCAATGAAATGACAGTTCCTGTCCCACAAGGTTCTTAAGGTCAAGAGTTTTGACCTTAGGCTTAGTCTTGACCCCAGATTAAGTTCACTACAAACTTAAACATTTGAATTTTCAAGCATGACCTAGTAGGTGAAAGCAGCCCAAACAAAGTGACGGAGTTATGCATGAACGTGTTTTTACTGTGACTTCACACAAACAAATGTATGCTTGTAAGCACATAAGAAGTTTTTTTTTCCATAATATACTTCTTTTCATTACGTATTTTCCACTGTATAAGTCACATCAGTCCAAATATGTCTAATAAAATGGAAAAATCCATAAATATGTCGCTTCGCCGTATACATTGCATCTATTATGCGTCACCGCTGACAACCTGAAAATGTGGGCCGGTGTTGTGCTAAAAATCGATTGGCTGCCAAATGGCGGCCACGGGAGCGTGCACGGGAGGACTTTAACAAGAATTTATTTCATTCATTCATTCAACCTTTATTTAAACAGATAAATCACAATGAGCCTCCAAGACTCATTTACAAGTGAGACCTGTTTGGACGGACAAAAACAGTGGTTAACTGGACACATGTAGGAGTTGGAGGCGAAAAAAATTCCTATCAGACTTTTCTTGGCTGAGAAAAACCCCTAATGTTGAAAAAACACCTCGCACAAACAAGCACATATTTACGTAGACATTCTGCATCAGAGACGAGAGCGGTCAACAATGCTTATAGATGCTCTCGAGGTCACTGTAATCAGTCAGTGTCCTCCGGTGAGATCCATAAACATTCTCGAGGTATGTCGAGAATTGGCCAAGAATAACCTCTAAAAGAATCCAGAGTCCTGAAATGATGACACAAAGTTTATTCAGCTGGCTCATCTGGTTATCAGTTGGAAATTCCTCAGGGAAGGGGTGGTGAGCGTCAGATCACATTTTCTCCAGGCGACTTTAGATAAGATGGCCTTCAAGGACACCAAAGCGACCAAAATTTAGATAAACACACAGTTGTTTTGGGGACAGGCAGAACTTAATGACATCAACCTTCAGTCTGTGTTGGTCCACTCGGTTCCAAAATGTCCAAATTAACGTGACCACACCGATGGAACATGACTGAGTAAAAATCCCCAAGATCTGATCCATTCAGCCCAAAGCATTTGAGTCTGGGTACTCCAGACATGAACCAAGACATCAAAAAGGCAAGCAGCGTGATCGAGTCCAAATTTGCTGCTGACGACTTCCTTGATTGTAGATAAAACCAGCACCAGCTGAATCCAAAAAGCAGGAACCAGTTATTGAAAATCCAATTAAATATGCGTCCTTAAAATCTACAGATGGCAGCAGAGATAGACACATCATCAAGTCTTCCAGTCGATGAGATATCCAGCTGCGTACGTGCCAACAGGGTAAATCAGCTTGCCCAAAGCCTGTCTTCTCTTTGAAGAAATGTTGTAAATTGAGATGAGGGACCAACTGATCAAAACAAGTCCATAATTATGGTTCGGAAGAAATGCAAGAGAGTCTCACAGTAATTTCACAGACAGACAGAGCAGCAAAGCAAAGCAGAGAGGGAGGGAGAGAAGCATCCGATCTCATGGGGAGCGAGTGGTGAAGTGAATTTAAGTGAATTTAACAAGATATTAATCTTTATACTATCAATATAGTAAAAGTGTGTTTCAGTTTAACCTTTACTTAATAAATGCACTTTAATGGTCAAATCAGCTGCATTTCGCTGGGGCTGTGCAGCGAAATGAAGCTGATTTGACGGTTGTTCCAGGCGAGCTGGACTGTGTCATTAATAGCCACGTTTTACCTATTACATGACACAACAGCACGCCATACTACTTGAGTGCCATCTAGCAGCTGAAAATGGTAGTGTTCAATATTTTCAGTCAGAATGAATGAAAACTGTCAGATCTCAGCCAAAAATTAGTTTATGAATATGGTGAAAAAACAGAAATATGTCGCTTCGGTGTATAAGTCGCAGGGCATGCAAATTATGCAAAAAACTGAAACTTATAGGCCAAAAAATACGGTAATTAATTTATGAAATATGCGTCTCTCATTCCGCCTCTGTGAGTTTATATTATTAGGTTCATCGAGTTTTTTAAATAACTCCACAAAACTGACTGAAGTGACAAACGGTGTTAATGTTAAAATAAAATCATAAAGTTCAGACGATTGAATGTATGATTTTACAGAAACATCTGACGTCTCTGTCCTGTACGCTGCTCAGCTGACAGCCTCATGTGATTTATGTTTATTGCATGCAGAATGGGAAACTTAGCTCGAATAACTCCAGATTTTACTGCCTGTGTGAACACTCATACTTAATGTTGTCCAGTGGAAACGATTCAGCCGGGACACATTAGGGCCAGGTCTAATCATGGCCTCTTTCAGAGACGTCCTTCAGTCAGAATCGTCTTTTAATTTCCAAATATCACATAAATGTTTGGACACAGCAGGTGCTGCTCTGCGTAGCCAGAATATATGTGTAAACATGAAACAGCTGAAATGATATCTTAATTAGTTCCAAATATTAGATTAAAAATCATTTCTTTCTTTTTTTAGCATTATACTTGATGGTTTTGTCGATTTTGACAGCAAGTATTCAGACGGAGTTACTTTATTTCTGCATTCTGGTCTAAAATTTCTCACACGTTGTTGACTCACATTGTGTCTGCCTCTATGAATCTTATGAGTTTTAATGTTGAGCTATTCTTTTCATCCCAATTACAAACGTCTTCATTTTTTAAGAAAAACTGAATTTATGTATAGGTTGAAATAATTTCACATTTCTTCATGTTATGAATACGATTGAGTTTGTTTGCAATTTTTGTTCTTAAATTCTTGAGCTTGGACAAATGCGAGGTCACTCTGGTCATGTGGTCCGATCACATGCTGGACGTCTGAGCTCTTCCAGTTGGAATGTTTTTAACAAAACCATTTAGATTTTCGTGCTAGCCTGAAATACAAAAGACTTCCTGTTCAGTTTCCAAGTCTGTGGGATGGCCAAGAACTGCAGACCAGTGTTCACTTTTATCAGGGATTTTAGTGCTGCAGACAGTCGCCATGTGGTCATTTATCGCAGTGCTGCATCTGACACACAAGAAACTGCGTGCACGAGTTTGTGTTGCAAGCAAAAGGATGAGATAAGCAATAACTGTGGTCATTTTGCAGTAAAACTGTTTCCATCACATGTAAGTCACATGCAGCTTGTAGTTTTTATTTTAATCATGGAACATTAAAAAACATTAGGTGATCAAACAATGCAGTCGTTTTGCCAATCTAGTACCTGGTTAGGCTTTTTTTGCAAAGAAAAAATAAGAAAATCTCAAACTACCAGGACAAAAAAACTACTGGTCCCTATTGAAAAGAACAATTCACACACAAGCAAATCAATACAAGTTTAAATGTGATATGATTTTGAGTTTTTAATGCTTTCTGGATGTTGATGTTGGACGGTGATTGTTAAAAATGCAAACTGTTGTTTGTTGCAGATGTAGGAGCGTTCAACCATGGATGTGCAGAACAACAACAAGCCTTCTGTGGACAGTTTGTGCAAGCTGCCTAATCACGATGCGCAGGTATTACCCTGCATAGTGTCAAAGTGTTTTTAGATTGTGATTATTATAGTTTGAACGCCGCAACGTACAAGATACATGAAGTACTTTGTGCTGTGCACGCCTTTGATTCTACTTTAATACCTCTTTAACATATTTTTATAAATAATTATTCTTTCTACCCACTTTTGGGTGTCTTTATGAGATAACATTAACTTCACCTGTAAGTTTTTGTGCATATTAAAGTGTTTGGTTTATTGCTTTGTTGTTGTTGTTGTTTTGTTTTTCCCCGCAAAGAGAAACATGTCGAGCTGTAAATACTGCTGCACCATGGCCAACTTCCGCATTGACAAGAAGATTGGTCGGGGTCAGTTCAGCGAGGTCTATAAAGCCACGTATCTGCTGGATGAACAGCTAGTTGCACTCAAGAAAGTCCAGGTATGGTCCTCTGCGCCGTGTCTTACTGTACCTCAGACCACGTCCTTGGATCAGTTTGACACATGCTCCTTTCTAAGTAATTAGTTTAATAACTCTTCATACTTGTCAATATTAATACTAAATGTTCTGTATGTAAAATAGCCCTATAGGAACACCGACTTTCACAAAGTTAAAGGGACTTCTAGGAATTAATATGAGGATAT